ATATATATATATATATATATATATATATATATATATATATATATATAAAAAGAAAAAGAAGTCATGAAACAGTATATAAAAAAACTGTCCAAAAATGTTTAAATTGAAACATGGGAACAGAAACCATCTGCCAAGAGGGCAGGGGACGGACGGGTCAGGTAAGGCTTTATGAACAAGGTTCTGACTTGACCTGAGCCTCTAGCATTTTCTGTGGCAGGTTAGAGAAAGGAAGGCAAGAGAATGAAAAACAGGAAAACAATAGGCGCAAAGGCCCACAGCATGTTCAGGAGTAGGATGTCTTTGTTAATAAGAAGAATTTGAATATTAAGCAGTCCTATTCATGGTTTCCTGCAAGTCAAGGAAAAGTAGGGTGTCAAGACTTCAAATTTTTATTGACTACATTTTTTTTCCATAGGAAAATCAGTAAGGGAGAAAGTGTGTTTGTAGCAACTCCATCAGAAAACTCCTTCCTCCTATTCTCCCATGTGGACCACCACCAAGGGCAGGCACTACTCTATTTGTGAATTTTGACCTTTTCCCTATTTTTTTCCTTACAGATAGTAAAGTTTTATCTTTGAAAATAAAAAATGGAATTGATTCTAATTCTCCATGTAATGACTGAAGCACAAAATTAAAGACATATCAGAGTAGATGTTAGAAATCAGACAATTTCAAATAGAGGGATTACTCATTTGCCTATCTGATGGGTGGTCCATCTGTGAATACAGCACTCTGCCACCTCATCTTTAAGTCAAATTGTCCAAGAAGTTTTATTTGTCATTCCATTGTGACATTTGAACATATCATCTTCATAGAATAACATTTTTTTATATTGTAGATAGAAAAAAATGACAACATGTGTTTGGGATTCACAAAGATCTTTTTGAATCCTGACTTTCTCATTTGCTAATTGTGTGACCATGTAAAATTTACAATCTCTTAACACTCAATTAAATTGCAAAATCAATGTTGCTGAGGTGTAGTGGGGTTAAATACACAGATAAAATATACTGAAGGCTGCAATATATGGGGAATCCAAGAGGACTAGGGGGCAGTTCAGATACTCAAGCCAGTCTCAGACACACAGAGAACCCTATTCTTTTCAAATCAGAGTTTATCTCACTGATTATTCTCAGAGAATGTCAAATGAATGAGAGGTTAGGGTAGGGTTAGGGTCAATATACTTCACTATCCTCCTACCTCCCACTGTCTTCTCATCAAACTTTCCTTCCTCTCTGTCATACCAATGAAATGGCTTTTCGTAAAGTCAACAAAGACTTCAACACTGTTTAATCTGGTGGTCATATTTCCCACTCCCCCATTTGCTTACCATCCCTTTATTTGACTCCCTTGAACAACTTCTTTTGCAACACTTGATTTTCTTGGCTTCCATAATAACCCTGTGTTCTCCTCCTATCATATTTGCTGGTCTTTCCCAGCCTTCCTGAATAGTTCCTCAACCACTAAATGATGGTTTGTAACAGAGATCCTGTCCCATGACTTTAATGAACAGTTTGCTTATAACTCTCAAGTTTTTATATCCAGGCCTGATATTTTCTTAACTGTAGACTTTATTGGTACACAGCTTTCCAAATGACATAGCTTACATTGGTGTCAAAAGTGTATCTCAAACTCAAAATATCCAGAAAGGAACTCTAGATTCTCAGTCTCCCAAACCTGTACCTTTCCTACCATCCTCTTCTGAGGTCATTGCACCATCATCCACTTAGTTCTCAAACTAAAGAAAATTCTAGAAATCTTCCTTGATCACTCATCTCCTCACCTTTCACTTGCAGTCTTTCACTGAGCTCTGCCCACTGTAGCTTCTCTACTTGGGCTGAATCTTTTTGTTTTTCTGTCTTACTATTACCCTCCCAGTTCAGCTCACCACCACAGCTACAGGGTGAGCTGGCCTCTCTGGGTCTATTTTAACCTTCTCTAGTGAATTTTCTACATGGTAACTAGAGTAGTTAAAAAAAAAGCATAATAAACATTTCCCCCCCTCTCTATATATATAGCCTGTGTATACACACACATACGGTCAGATCATATCCCTCACCTTCTTTTAAACCTTTCAGTGGTTAGCTATGATACTTGAATGAAGTTTCCAAATCTTCACCCTGGTTCTCACACTATGCTGACTCATACACAGTCTCTTATCTCTTCCTTGACCTTATCTCCATCCTAGCAACCATTCATTGGCTACAAACTCATTGTCCCTTGGGGTCTTTTCTTGAGTTGTGGTTCCTGACATTGTTGTTTATGTTGTTTTCTTTCTGTTTTATTTTGCCTAGAATGCTTGTCCATCAGATATCTGCTTTGCTGAATATGTTACAGAATTTGGGTCTCAATTACCATAAATATCAACTCCTCAGACAAAGCCTTCTTGACCATCGAACCTAAATTATTCCTTTAGCAACTTATGCCCTATCCCATCTGCTTTTGGTTCATTTTCATAATGGAAGTTATACTCCATGCTATATTCTCTCTCTCTCTCTCTCTCTCTCTCTCTCTCTCTCTCTGCTGTATCCATTCACTGGATGTTAAGGTCCATGAGAGTAGGGAATAATGATTCTTTTTTTATCTTACTAAATTTTATGCCTAATGTGGTTAGAACAATGCCTCAGAGTAACTGCATAGAGTAAGTGTGTGATAAATGAGTAACTTGAAAAGTATTTTTATAGGCCACACTAGATGTGTGTAAAACAGTCTTTGGAATTAGATCAAAAACAAGTAGTTTAATTCCCCCAAACATAATACTTAAGCTTCCATCAAAGGCATTGAAATTAGTGAAGCTGTTTGAGGTGGGAAAACCAACTCAGAGAAGGAAGAACAGCAAGGGAGTGGGAGGGAGAATAGCGTAATCTTAGAGCAGCACTTGATTCTTTGTGGCTGGATTATGTGCTGCTGAATTCTAGAAGATGAATGGGTCTGGGGTGTAGGTAAGCAGAAGCCACATAGACTCAGCCCTTTTATGGCTTGTTAAGAAATTTCCACAGTATCCTCACAGGGAAAGCATATCATTGAGGAATTTAGATGAGAGGATGACCATATCATATTTGTGATTTTGGAAGATGGCTCAGAGCCATACAACAAATGGCAGGACTGGAGCAAGGAGACTGGCTTAGGCAATATTCCAGAGGGATTTTCTAAGGCCTTCTGCTGAGGAAGCGTTGATGAAAATGGAGAAAACATGATTTACTGCAGGGAGAGAAGATAGGGTCAAAGTGACACTGGATTTTATTTGATCAGGATTTTAAGGAGAGAGACCTGGTCATTCTCAGCTTTTAGTTCTGAGTACTTAGTAGAAGGTGGTAGCAGGACACACTTGTTTCTTATTTTTTATTCCTTTTCAGACAAATGTCTATTAAGTCTCCCTTTTGCATGGTAGACCACCTGCTACTCACATAAATAGACATTTTTTTCCCCCATCGTGATTTCAACATACCTGTTTCCCTTGCTGGACTGAATGATCCTTGAGATGAGTAAAGCTGTATTTGGTCTCTTAGTGTCAGCAAATCCCAGCACATAGTCGGTACTCAGTAAAAGCATGTTGCATGAATGAATGTATGATGGTGGGGGTTTTTGAACTAAAAATTCATGTAATGATTAAAATTACTCTTATAAAATAGCAAATTGTCAATAATTTATTGATATGAAGTGTAAAGGTATCTTTTGAAAGTTATTATTGATGTTTTTTTCTCTAAGCCCTGGATATATGGACAAAGTTTGGGATCTCTTGAAAGAAATATTGCCGGAGTTTAAGCTGCCAGATGAGCTCAACTCTGAAAGCAAAATAGCAGAGATAGAAAACAAACTAAAAGAACAAGGGAAAGAGACAAAGGATAACAAAGAAGTCAAAGATGGGAAGGAAGTGAAAGACTCGAAGGAATTCAAAACTGATGGTTCCTTGACGACTCTCAAGCCTCCTGAGAAAGGTGACAAGGTTACAAAGGGTAAGACATTTTACATCAAAGTTTCATTCAACATGGACACTGCATGTAAATCCCTTGCAATATTGTGAACCTAAAGCTCCTTTAGTGTCACAATCATCCTTAAATGTTGTAAAAACTGCCATGTAATAAACATGTTTCTCTTAGGACTTGAGAATTTACAGCAGTGTTCACCATGCATAAGTTATTGTTCCATATTTTGCTTTCCTTAAAAATTAAAGGCAATTCTCTACTTCAATGATACTAAATTAATTCTGTGTTATCATATACTAAAATATTAATATAGGAAGAGACACCAAATTCTAAATTTTTATCAAACACATTTTTCTCTTATATTTTTATGCACAGAGTGATGGACCCAAACAGTAAAGGGGAAAAGTTATCCTGTTTTGTTCCAGGGAAGGTGAAATAAGCATGGATGATTTTTCCAATATTTATTCTAAAGTGTAAGTTCAAATCTGAAGAAAAGTAATTTTGATTAATTTTATGAAGTACAGGATCATTTCTCTTGTCAAGATGAAAAATGTGTTGGATAATTATTTATTTTGTGTCTTCTAAAACATTTTATATGGACAATAATGCTTGTATAATGAAGTAGAATCAAATATACAAGAAAATAGTCAACTTATTTGTATATCTTGGTATTATTTACAATGATCTTTCAAATGTTTATTTATAAAATATTGACTGTTATTATAATTATTCTTTATTAAGATCTTGTCCACCAGCATTTCCTCTAGTATACTGCACAGAAATTATTACTTTAGATTTTCCTCAAAAATAAACAAAATTCCCTGTGTATGTGTACCTGTCCCTATAGACCCCTCTTGAAATGATCTAACATGTATTCATTATGAAAAGAAGCCTGACTAAATTACTTTTATCCAGTATATTCCAAACTGATTTGCTTCTAGAAGCTGTTTCTCATGTAGACTCACAAATTATCATTTATCCATCCATTCACTAATTCATTCAAATATACTGCTTGCTGATTAGAATACCAGTTGTTTCCCAAGAATTGATGGTATCTTGGTAAACAAATCAGATGTGAAATCTGCCTTTTAGAGCTTACAGTCTAGTGAAAGAGACTAACATTCATGATGTCAAAAATAGTATATAACCACATACTAAAATATGAGTCTTGAAAGGAAGTATAGGATCTTTGGCAATTCATTGGGGTACCTGTTCTAGGCCATCAGGGAAGAATTCTCTAGGAATTTTGAGGAATTACCTAGAGGAAGATGAGGATTGTAGAGGAAAGAGAACCCAGGCAGAGTAAATAATGATTACAACGATTATCAGGCAGTAGGAGGGATGACCATGTGTTGAAGGAGTGGGTAGAAAATGTGTTTAGTAGGAGAGGAAGTGAAGAGATAATGTGGCTCAAGAAAAATAATTGGATCAAGTCGTATAGGTCGCTCCAAGGTTATTGATCTTTTTGTCATCAGAGTTACTGACTGCCAATGGTGAGTTTAGAATAGAATCACAATCTGATTGCTCTTTCAAAGGATCACTTTGATGCCTGAGAAAAATAGTCTGGAGGTGGAACAGGGTATTAGGGGTGTGGGCCAATGTGTAAGAACCAACTTGGCGACTGTCACATCAGCTTATAACAATAGGGAAGAAGGTATTGGCAGAGCAGATGCAGATGAGGTGGCTGATTCAAATGATATTTAAGAAGTAAAAAATGGCAGAACTTAGCAAAGATAATTGGGAAAATTTTGAATTGCAAACCTGGATAGATGTAGCACCTATTAGGAGAGAGCACAAAATGGTTTTGAATATATTGAATTTGAAATGCCTTTAAGACAAGAGAATTTTTTATACTGGTTTCAAGACTGGTAATGTGCATTTGGGAGTCACTGACAAGTGCACACTAAAACCATAGAAGATATTTCACAAGGACAAAGTATAGTGTGAGAAGACTAGGAAGGCTGAGACTTGAAACACCTACACATCTGAGAGCTCATGGACTGATGAATGAGATTAAGGAGTGTCAGAGAAGCAGGGAAAGCCCAGACAGAGCATGTGGGCATTGAAATCAGAGGGGATAATGATGTTTCAAGAATCAGAGAGACTGTCAGGTATTGTTGAGAGATGAACTATAATGAGAACTTAATTTTTTCCATTCTTTGTCTTAATGGGAATGTCATCAGACACTGGGGACTGATGGGAATGAAGTACATAGTGGAGGCACTTAACGAAGTAAATGGGAAATAACTTAATCTATAGAAGTTCTTGAAGAACAGGAGAGTCACAAAGTGGAACTGACAGGGAATATTGTGGGACCCAGACAGAATATATATTTGCTCACCTAATCAGGGAGAATGGCAGTGGTTTTAGGTGATGATTGGGAGGATCTAGAGGAGATGACTTCAACAGCGCACTTTTCCTGAGAATGTGGGAGGAGTAGGATCCACAGTCCAGCAGGAGGGATTGTCCCAGCCCAGGAAGACTAATGGCTCTGCCATTTTAATGGCTGGACACAGGTCATGTAGGGACAGGGGTGTTTGATACAGATGTGGGTGGGTGAACAGGTTTATTTAATTGGGAGAAGTTGAGAATTTCTGACAAAAGACTTCTAACTTTCTCTATTAATAGAAAGCTTAGCTCTGAGCCGAGAGTGAGGTGGAGATGGAAAATGTAGTGTCCTGGAGATTTGAGTTGATGTGGAGAGGATTGTACAATTAGGACTCAGATAGCAAGTTATTTAGAACAGGGTTTTGCCCTATGGTTGGACTTAAATGGAAGAGAAATAACAACTACTTAGGATATTTGTCAAAAACACATTTTGGTAAATTCTGTTACATATTATCCAAATTTCTAAATGAAACAGCTTATTTTTTTCTATTGTTTTCATTAGATAGTAGATTATTTTTAAATAATAAATTCAGCATAGGTGTCTGAAGACTGTTAAAGTTCAATTTTAAAATTATAAATGAAATCACAAACTGCTACACCAAATTTGATGCATTGAATCAAGTTAACATTTGAAAGTTAATAACACATTTTTGCATGGAAGTTTCCCAGTTAAATATTTCTTCCTCCCTTTGAAGTTATGGTTTTCCTCAATTTTATATCAAGCATAGGTGTTAAATCTGTTAACGCTAAGAAATGAAACAGGTATATTTTGGATACTAAGGAACTGTATAAAGCTTTTAATACCCACTGTTTTTAATTTATGCAAAGTTTTAAGAAAATAAACCCTGTGACCAATGATGATTATAAATTTAGTAGCTTATACAGAGAATGAAATGACCAAAATTTAAAATTCTGATTTAGAATTGGAAGGGATTGTGAGTAAAAAAAAAATCTTGGAGGAAATTTTGGTTTTATATTTCATATAAAATATTTCATAGAGATGCGTTTATGCATAAGAATTCAAACAGTGGGGATAGTTCTGGGCTCATGGGTTTTATTACACATGCCATGCTGGCAAAAGGAGGTTGGTTTGTGGGTGTTGGTTGAGTTCCAGTTCCACAAAAAGATATTTTGGGAACAAAACTTGTTTCCTTGAGATGAAGGCCCCAGATAAGATTTAGAGGGTCCCACAGTCAGGACCCAACCCTCAGCCCATGCTTTATTGTTTGTTGTTTACATTTTTTAATTGAGAAAATTAGCATGGCACTCTAATTTTACATAAATAAAATATATTCCAATAATGATCTCCATGAAATGCAAAATTATGTATAATAATTTAGTTATTATGTATAACAATAAGCAATGTTGGATGTCTTTCAAAGTACATGTGGATTTTCAAAAACTTCTCTGGCTTTATTGTGATGTTTCTAATTAAAAGAGATTATGTTTGGGGGAAGTTGTGGCTATAGTTTTACATTTCAAAAAATATAATTGTTCTGGTCTTTTTTTAATACAATGACTAATAAATGTAGCTTGAGAGTTACTAGTTAAAAGATTTATGATTTTTTTGCTATGTTAGAGAAAACAGATATGAAAGATCTTGGGAAGAAAAAAAGTAAAGATGGAGAAAAGGAAAAGGAAAAATTCAAATTTTCAATTCATGGCTCAAGACCCTCATCAGATGTACAGCACTCCATGCAGTCCCTCTCCGATTGTAAGCTCTTTGTCTCAGAATGCTCTTTATTTTAGTCGTTCCCTAAAATGCTGGAAAATGTGGAAGCACAGAGATGTATTTTCTGTTTTGAAATATCTAAGAAAGATTGTTGGGCTTTTCCCATAAGTGTTGGGCCCTCTATGTAAAGGATGGCTGTGCACATCGCGGCCAGGTCCTCTGTAGAAGACAGAAGCAAGCCAAGTTCTTCCCGCATGACAGTCCAAGGAGAAGCAGCCCCATGTGGGCATTTTTCTGAAAGATGCTTAGAAGTCTAAATTTATCATCCAAATCTAAGTAAATTTGAAATTCCTCGTTTAGTAACATCCAAATTAAAGAAAAAGTGTATGTGTAACTCTTTGCTCACAGTGTATGTACCTCCAGCTCTTTGACAGTTTCAGACCATGAAGCATGGTCTATAGTGGTGGCCTGTTTACTGACAACCATACTTTTTTTGTGTATCACATTGTGACTGGACAGATATAGCAGATCTATACAGTCTCATTGTATAAAGATCATGTTTTCTTAGTGCAAATGCTCAGGATTCTATCTACTACATAAAAATCATACTGTATCTCCCTCGTTTTAGTTAATATCTTTCCAACTTACATAGACAGATGGTTCCAAAGGTCCTGGGTCAAGGGACCTTTATCCTCTGTACCACCTAAAACAATCTAGTACAACAGCCTCTAATGGTATCATATACTATAAAAAAATTACACTTCAGATTGTTCAAGAGGAGATTTCAATATCTCTTTTGAGACTCTGTAGTCCCAACAAAGGAGTCCTCTATCTTAGTGCTCCCAGAGTGTTGATTACAATTTTCAGCTCATCCTTCATTACGTGGTTGAAAATATGTCTTTCTGACTCCAGCACTATGCTTTATCTATCTGGTTTATTTTCATTTTGTATTCTTCCTTAATATATTATAATGATTTTTATTAGAAAATTTTAATAGTTCTGGCCTCTGATGTTTACTGAAATGAGTCCAGTGATGTGGTAAAGAAAATAGTCACTAGTTACTGCATCTTTAATTTTTCATTAAAATTTATTTTCTTGTATTGATGCCTTAAGTAATATTTTCTGAAAGTGGGAAATATCACATTATCAAAGTTCATCTTTATTAAAATGGCTGAAATTTGCTCTAGTTTCTTTCTTTGTGAAAGTGAGGGTAATGATGCCTTTTTTCCACTGGAACACAGTTAAGGTCAATGTCAATATACAGAACGCAGGTTCCGATTGGAGCCACTGCCTGAGTCAAATCCTTTATGGAAAGAGTAAGCACCAGGCAATTGATGGAGGCTCCTTAAAATCAGAATCTTCTGATTTCTTAAAGTGAGCATGGTATCTGTGAGGGCTCCTCTGAGAATTAATTATTAAAGTCCAAGTAAAGTGCTTGGTAAATGTGGGTAGAAATACATTTTAGGATACTTATTGATGAAGTCTTTGTTAATTCCTAAACATGTCCAAGATACCATGTTAAAATGAATTCTACAGGACTCTATCTACCATAAATAAAAGACAGTGGCCATATGAACTTCCTTCTCCCATACAGTTAAATGTAAGTGGTTTGGGAGATGGTATTGTTAAAATTCATTTCCTTAAAACAGCTGTTTTGGTTTTACTTATACCAGATTATACAGGGACCCCGAGCATTCAAAAGGTAATTGACTTACAATTCAAACTCTATGAAAAAAATAACATGACATTTATATTATTTATATTCAACTTGACATAAATAAAATGTAATAGGTAACTGAGAAATCATGGAAAGTTTAACATGAAGTACTCCTATTTTATTAATTTTATGAAAGTAGTGCATTTATCACAGATGTTATTAAAATAATATGTCACTCAAAGTTTTAAAATGTTATAAATAATATATAATTATAAGGTGTCAAAAATCATGTAGATATTTATTCATGTTTATACATATATGTATATATTTACATTTATATATCTAATATATACTCTAATAACTATGTGGCATTTAAGAGTTTTTTTATTGTTTTTTTGAAAGTAAATGTATTAATTAAGGTAACTAACAAATGGTTCAAACAGTATACATATGTGTGTGTGTGTGTGTGTGTGTGTGTGTGTATAAATTACATAAAATCAAAGACCTGTGTTAATGACTGGCATATATATATAAATTACATAAAATCAAAGACCTGTGTTAATGATTGGCAAGAAGCTCATTTCTAAATGGTGTTTGGAAGACCCAGCCTCCTTATTTCTTATGGCTCTGACAACTTCAGCAATGTGGATTCTAAATTTCTATACCCGCAGACGGAGCAAGACCTAGAGCTCTGCAAGAGTGGCATTTTTAAGGGCAGAGCTAGCTGTATCCTGTATCGCTTCTGCTCACCACCTTCTGACTGTGATAGAAGTCTATAGCCCACCTAACTGTAAGGGAAATCAGGAAATAGAGTTTAGCTGAATGTTTTGGAGAAAGAGGGAACCATTTTGGTGGCAAACCGTCAATAATTGCCACATTCCACTTCCTTGATCTTCAGGTGTCCATGTCATTCTTCTTCCCACATATATAATATGTTCACCTCTTACCAAGAATCTCAACCAAATTGCTATTTAGTAATTGCATCTAGTGCAAAGTCTGGGATCTCCAAGTCATGTGCTTATACCCACAACCATGTAGGTCCACCCCTATATCTAATGTATTGTTGAAGAAGGATAGAAGATCTGCAATATAAGTTTCCACCATGAAAAGAAGAGAATAGGAGCTGTATTGTAGTCACTCACCACAGCAACTAAAAAACTCTGCTGAGAGGACCCTGTGCAGACCTTTATTCTGGCACAAGGGGCAGCTTCTTGGCATTGACTATTCTCTTGGAGGAACTCTAAATGAAGTGTTAACTAGCTTTATGAACCCAGGGAGTACTGCTCCAGAGTTCACACTGCTGTATTATACCTCCTTCAATATCTGTGGATATTAGCAGCTTTAAAATTTGTTGAACACTTATTCTCTAAACAACTAAATTTGAAATGTAACTTAATAAAATCTTGAATTCAAATTGTAACATTAATTTAAAATACTGAAGCTCTAGAAAAAAAATGAACAAATCAGACCCTTCTCATAGCTGAGAAAGAAGTAGTATCAAGAATATTAGAGATTTGAATTTTGAAGTTACCTAACTACAAGAAAACTTAGAATTTGTTTAGTAATATAAAATAGCTCAGTAACATGGTAACTGTTAAAAATTTTGTTTAAAAAAATACAAATCAGTAAGATTGGAATATGTCTTGTTGGAAGAGTAAGGTTGACTATTTTCTGACCATGAGAGAGATTTTGCTGGATGTTCATAATTTCTTCTTCCTTCTGAGAACAGATTTTTCCAGCCTCTGTTGAAGTAAAATGTGGCCTGTGCCTGTGTTCTAGCCCATGGAACAGGAACAGAAGCAAGGTGCACCATTGCCAGTTGACCCCTGAAATAAATGCTCCTGTGTGAAATCCCCCTTTTCTAACTTGGTGTGGTTAAGGTTACACTGTTAAAGATGGCGGAAGACTGGGAAGAGCAGGGAGACGTGTATTGCTGCTTGGAATCTGTCTGGGGTTTAGTCATGTCTGTGTGAAATGCTTAGATCAGAGCTTACCATGGAGTGAGCATTCAATAAAAGTTAGCCACTATAAGAAATTGAGTTAATATCACACTGAAAAATGATTTATAATCTTAGACAAATACCCCTTATGAATTTGCAGTAGTTATGTAGTAATTTGGAGTTCATCTCACTGTGAATCATCGTTTCAGGCTGAAACTGTTATTTATTAAGGCAGTGAATGTCTAACATAAAATGAAATCAATGATAAAAATGATACTTAAGCAATCTTATTTATTTTATAGCAGAGTCTTCTGAAATATAGGGAATAAGAAGAGGTGCACTAAATTGAAACATCTAAATTATACCAATGAAATCCTCCTAAGCAATAAAATACATGTAATTAGCAAGGCAGTTTTGGAAACTGCACAACTTCTAAAGACTGTACAAATATTTTAAGGCAGTTTTAGAGGTTAGAATTTTAAATGTCATCTCCTTAAGTGGGTCTTTTTTCTCCCTTAAATTTATTCATCAATTATCCAACTTGATTGTATGCATTTGTTTTGATTCCATGAAATACTACTTTAACATCTGGGAAGACAAATAAGAACATTCTATGGTTTATGTAATGAGTTGTTCTTTAAAAGATACAGAGCTCCTGGATCCAAATATTTGCCTCTAAGATATTCTGAAAGCATTTTTTTTCATATGTAATGATATGAGGAAGTAGTATTATGGAAATCAGATAGCATATTTACAGAGATATAATGGACCAAATATGAATTCTCTGAGACTCTTTTCAAATATCTCTTATCTTTTTCATTAACAGACTCTTTGAGAATCTTATGAAAATTATGAAACTTCTCTCTTTTCCCAAATACTTAGTGCTATTAATTGAATGTGCCCCACAGTGATCATGATTTGAAAACTTGGTCACTATGCAAAATTTTGGGGAGGTGAGGCTTAATGAGAAGTGATTTAGGTCATGAGAGTGGAGCAGAGGGATTAATGGCATTATTGCACAAGTGAACTGGTTATCACAGTAGTGGGCTTACTCTAAAAGAGGGAGTTTGGCCCTCTTTTCTGTCTAACCCTCTCTTTGCCCTTTGGCTTTTGCCATGGGATATTACAGCAAAAAGACTGTCACCAGATGCCAGTTCCTCAATATTAGACTTCCCAGCCACTAACTGTGAGGAAATAAATTTTGGTTCTTTATAAATTACTCAGTTTGAGGTATTCTGCTATAGCAGCACAAAATAGACTAAGGCACTTATTATGTACACAAATGTGCAATGTTTTACCTATTTTGGGGAGTTTCTGGACCCCTGAATCCCTTTTATAAGATGTAAATATTTTAGCTTAAAATAACCTATTTTTATTATGTTGCTACCCAGAATTCATAGGTTAGTGATAAGATGATAACACCAAAACTGTGATACCAGTATTTATAAGCAGCTTCAATTTGATGGTCTGTGCCATGATATATGCTTATTAAATATTTAGAAGTTGACCCCTGAATAAACGCTGATGTTTTTAATATTTTCACATTAAATATTGCAATCCCATAAAAATGTTATTGTCATAGAATTTAAAGCACATTTTTTCTGTCATCAACTGATGAGGACCACAACCAAGTTAAGATGGCGCCTGGCAGTATGCTAGGAGGAGAGGTTTGTGAAGTAACACCAGTAAGCCATTAGGATGATGAGGATTCCTTAATGACTGACTGCTGTGTCTAGATTATGTCAATTAAGTTAAGCTGTGTGTAATCATTAAGATGATGAGGATTCCTTATTGGTTGACTGCTGTATCTAATTTATGTTAATTAAGTTAAGCTGAGTGTAATTAGTTAAGTATATATACCTCTCTGTCCCGTAATAAAGCGGTTTCTGCTGTATCAATCTTCTCAAGTTGCTTGTCACCACCCCCCCAGTTATTTTGCCCAGCCAGACTGTGGCAATCAACATTATTAATAGCTGTATGTTAAGACCATGTTCTTTACCTCATATTTCTAGTAATTATTGTTCTATGACCTAATTTAGAATTCCCAAGTTTCTGTAGATTTTATTATGCAATACTATAAAATAAATGGAAAATGTTCTCTCAAAATACTTGCATCATAATCAAATTTTTATTTTAATATCATATAGAGTCTAGAGCTTAAATGACATTATAGGTTTATGGCAAATTATTTGATTCCTTAATATTAAATATTTAGCTTTAAGAAACTTTAGGAAAGACATAAAAACTTTCATTGTATAATATGCAAATATGGGATATAATTTGAACTAAATTTTTTTTTAATATTTAGTTTTTAGTTATAAGTGGACACAATGTCTTTATTTTACTTTATGTGGTGCTGAGGATTGAACCCAGTGCCTCACGCACACCAGGCAGCTGCTCTACCTCTGAGCCACAACCCCAGCCCCTAAAAAACTTTTAAACTTAAAGATTTTAAAATCAGAATTTAGAAGAGAATTAATTTGATAGTTGATTTTATGTGTCAACTTCACTGAATTATGTAATGCCCAGATATTTGATTGTAAGCCATTAATATTTAAAAGAGTAGGCTGGGTAACATAGACTGCTTGATCTAGTGCAAGTGGACCTCATTCAATCAGTTAAATGCATGAGAAAAAGTCTGGCTGTCCCCCAATAAGAGAAAATTCCTGCTGCCTGATCGCCTTCGGACTCAAAGTGAAACTCTGACTATTCCTGGGCCTTTCGTCTGTTGACCTTCAGACAGGAACTATAGTTAGAACTTGTCAGCCCCCATGATCATGTGAACCAATTCCTTATAATAAATCTCCTTTTATATATTTCATATTGGTTCTGTTTCTCTGGATACACCTGACTAATACAGATACTCGTACCATGAAGTAGGGTGCTGCTGTAACAAATACCTACAAATATGGAGGTGGCCTTGTAACTGTGATGGGTAGTGGCTGGAAGAGTTTTGAGGTGCCTTCTAGAAGCAGCCAAGATTGTCTTGGAGGGCCTTTCCCCCCAATATCTTTCTTTGGTGCATTATAATTGTATATAGATACATGTATGTAATAAGTTGTTATATATTCATACATGCACACAATCTAATTTGGCTAATGCCATTCCCCAGTATTTCCCCTTGCCATTCCCTCCTCCCTCCCCCTAGTCCCTGGTCCTTTTCCTCTGTGCTACTGATTTCCTTTTGGTTTTCATGAGATTTCGCCATTCTCACCCCAATTTTCTTTTCCCTTTTCCTCTTTAGATTCCACATATGAGACAAAACATATGACCCTTGACTTTTCTGAATTTGGCTTATTTAACTGAACATAATGTTCTCAGTTCCATTCATTTTTCTTCAAATGACATAATTTCATTCTTCATGGCTAAATAAAACTCCATACATATACTAATTTTTTATATCTATTCATCCATTGTCAGAAACCTACACTGGTTCCATGGTTTGGCTATTGTGAATTGTGCTGCAATAAACATGAATATGCATATATCACTCTACTATGCTGACTTTTTAATTTTTAGGATAAATACTGAGGCATGGTCTAACTACATCATATGATAGCTCCATTCCTACTCCTTGAGAAAACCCCATACTTTTTTTTTCTTTTTCATGTTAGTTTTATTAATTTACAATCCTGCCAACAGTGTAAAAGTGTTCCTTTTTCTCCACATCCTCTGCAGCATTTAATATTGCTTCTATTCTTGAAGGCTGCCATTTAAACTGGAGAGAGAAGAAATCTAAGTGCAGCTTTGATTCGCATTTCTGTCATTGCTAACCATATTGAGCATTTTTTAAAATATATTTGTTGGCTATTTGAATTTCTTCTTTTGAAAAGTGTCAGTTTAGTTAATTTGCCCATTATCAATTGGGTTATTTGGGGGTCATTTTGATATTAAGTTTTTAGGTTCTTTATATATTCTGGATATTAATCCTCCATCAGAAGAGTATCTAGCAACGATTTTCTCCCATTTTGTAGGTCTTTCTCTTCACAAACTTAATGATTTCCATTGCTGTTTAGAAGCTTTGTAATTTGATGCTATCCCAATTTATCAACACTTGGCATTATGTCTGAACTTCAGAATCCTATTGAGAAAGTCATTGCCTGCACCTAAATGTTGGAGTGTTGACCCTATGTTTTCTTCTGAGAATTTCATAGTTTCTGGTCTAATTTTTAGCCCTTCAATCCATTTTATGTTGACTTTTGTGCAACTCTAGCTTCATTCTTCTACATAAAGATAACCAGTTTTCCCAGAACCATTTGTTAAAAGGCTGTCTTTTCTCCAATGTATATTTTTGGCACCTTTGTCAAGAATCAGAAGACTATATCTGTGTGGGTTTGTCTTTATGCCTGCTATTTTGTACCATTGCTGTATGTAATTGTTTTTATGTTCATACAATATAGTTTTGGTTACTGTGGCTCTGTAGTAGTAAACAAGTTAGGTCTTGTGATGCCTCTAAGCATTGGCTTAGAACTGCTATGGCTATTGTGGGTCTTTTATTCTTCCAAATGAATTTTAGGACTATTTTCTCTAGTTTGAGAAGAACAACATTGGTATTTTAATGGGGATGGCACTGTATAATCAATGATATTAAAAAATATTTACATAAAGTCATTTCTAAGCAAAAATATGTTGAAGGTGAAGCTTAACTTCTCCTTACTACATATAGTGAGATATGAGAGATGAGAGGTAAATTGTGAGGATTATGAAGCAAAAAAAAAAAAAAAAAACTTGAAGATTTGGGAAATCCTCAGTCTCTATTGCAAAACAGAGAGAGAGAGATAAATCTTGTTGTAGAAACAATACCAAGAATGTGTGAACAATCACTCTGTAAGGAGATTAGCAATGGACTAGACATCTCAGCAAAGATAAGGAATACAAATGAATTTGTACCCACAGAGTCAAGACCATTTTAACTAAGGGAATGGAGAAATCAGGATGGAATAAAAGAAGGCTATTGGACTTCTAAAGTCTACAGAACAGAACAATAGAGCTGTCTGGCTTTGAAAATAAATATGTGTTATCTTTCAAGAAAAGGGAAGAATGATCCCTTGAAGTGATTCAAAGACACTCAGGGCTTCCACTGTCATGAAGGCCCACGGAGCTAGACTGTTTCCACCCCAGCCTCAGCGGGTAGGCTCACCTTTCCTGTTTCAGTAAGTCAGGCTACCCCTACAAAGAGCAGGTGGGCACTCCTGCCAATATCCTTATGAGTGGATCCAGGCAAGGCCTCCACCCAGGTCTGAGTGGTTGGGGCCACCACCTAGAGCTATTGGGTAACAGTGAGCCCAGAAGGCAGAGAATCCAGCCAAAGATTGTTCTAAAGCTTTAAGATCTATTGGACTTTGCCTTGTGAGGTTTTAGACTTACTTGGAATCCGTCTCTTCTTCCTCTTTTCCTCCTTTGCTGTTTCTTCCTTTTGGAATGAAATCATCTTTCCTTTGCCTGCCTCAACATTGTGTTTGGAAGCATCTACCTTGTCTAGTGTCACAGGCTCATAGTTATGGAGCAGTGACTCAAACCTCAAGTCTTAACCATATGCTATTTAGATATTTATACAAGACTTTGGACTTGTTTGAGGTAGAAATTGAGGTAAAAATCAGCTAAGATTTTTTTTGGTGCTTTGAGGATGGGATAAATGTCATTTGCATGTAAGAAGGGCATACATTTAAAGAGCTGAGATCAGAAGGTTACGGAAGGAAATGTGTATCCCCCATATTCAAGTGTTGAATCCCTAACCCCCAATGTGAGTCTATTTGAAGATAATTTCTTTTTTTTAATTTTTTTATTATTAGTTGTTCAAAACATTACAAAGCTCTTGACATATCATATTTCATACATTTGATTGAAGATAATTTCTTTAGAGAAGTAGTTAGGGTTCAATGAGGTCACAAGGGTGGTACCTTAATTCAGTGGGGACTGGTCTAATAAAAAGAGGAAGACAGTAGATCTCCCTCCCTTCCTCTCCCCCCCTGCCTCTCTCTCCCCCCTTCCCTTTGCCATGTGAGGTCACATGAGGCACAGTGAAAATGTGACTGCTTAGACCCATTTTTATTAGAATTTTCTTGTGACAATGTTTGTTTTACAGGTTCTTCAGGAATTCAGTCCCCTCATATGGCTGTTTATGCTACCTTTACACCTCTCTATTTGTTTGAAAACAAGATTTTTTCATTAGAGAAGATGGTAAGCATTCAAAACCAAGAAATACATTATTATTTAAGGTGTGTGTAGGTGGTGTGGGGTGGAGGGGTTCTTTGACTTACAGGGACCTGGCACATCCAAAATTATCTTAGATGATTACAATTCTGATTTTTTAAAAAGAGAAAAAAATATAGTCACACTTTAGTTTTAAATATTTGTTATTATACACAGAAGGAAACGTAGACTTTATAAATGTCAGTGAAAATGATACATACCATTCCTGAATACTGATTAATGAACTTCCCATACATAGACCACACATATTTTCCTAACCTAAGATGATTTGAATTAATCCACACTCTGGCTGGACAGCCACTTTATGAACTTCCTTGTATCCGAAAATAATATGATGGAAATGCTACTTGCTTGTTTTCTTTCAAATTTAACAAATTTTAGAAAATGTGGTCAAAAGTAACAAAATATTCATGGTATACATGCCTAAGCACAGGCACTGCTGACATTTTGGCACATATCCTTTAATTTTCTTCTATGCATCTATTCTCTGTGTACTTGTGTGCTTCTTTTTTAAAGAGTGGAAACCAGTTTTTCATTTAACAATTACATTATTAGCATTTTTCTCATGGCATTACATTTTAGTCATTATAATTTTTAGCAGATGCATAATATTATGCTGTTGTATAATTTGTAAGCTACCTTTTGTTGTTAGGGAAATTTTTTTCCATTTCCCTGGTAATAGTAAAGTGTATCAAGTTTCTATACAATATATTTCGACAAATGCTAAATTGCAATTAGAGTGTATTGGGTCCCAATACTGTTTTGGAACTTTAGACATCTAATACTTAATTGCTAGGATTCCTTACATTCTAAAGTCACTACCTTAAAGTATAAGACTAAGAGTTACAGTGACATAAGTGCATATGAATGTTCCTTTGGTTAGTTCGAAAGAGCTGAGCTTTAAAACTTTAATGAAAATTAGCTTGAAATGTAAATACTCCTATTGGATACTGATTATAATACTTTACTATATGCATTGTATTTGTCTTTTAGATTAGCTTGGGAGCATAATGTTATCATTTTTGTCTTCTTCTCCTTTTCCTTTTCATCCTCCTTCTTCTTCTTGCTCTTTCTTCTCCTTCCTCCTCATTCAATTTTTTAGATAGAGCCATTCCTAACTGCAAAAATATACCACGGAGCAGTGATAACATCATAAAAATGACCAGGCACAGCATGCCATCTTGAGTAGAGGGATAGTAGCAGTTTCTCTGATTTTAAAGTGAAGCTGTGATTAGCTATAGTTCAATAGCAGAATCAGAAATTTGTTCTGGTTCTTAAAATAAGTAGCACAATATTTCAAGTGTGCTTCCAACTTCTTTCTCAAATCACGTATCTTGTTGAGATTAGGGCTGGCCACCTCATCCCTGATTCTTTTCTTAACCTCTTTTCCTGCCACTGATGCGGTCTGGCTCAGATATTCTAGTTAAAGACTATCTGCACTATTAAAGAACACTAGCGTGTTTTGTACAGTGCTATGGCCTTGGGTCTTGAGAGGTACTCAGACTCTTTTAAAAACATTAACATGTAGGCCTAGGATGAATGCTTTACTTAACAAACAACAGTATGCAAAATAATCTAATTGAACTTATGGTGGTATTACTGAAAAATCTAAGATTAAACACAAAGTTAATTTTGAATTTAAAAGACAAAAAAAAAAAAAAAAACCCCTATAAGCACATATGTGCATTTTCTGGTTAATTCAGTTTATTAATTATCTATTATATGCTAACAATATGCTATGTCCTAAAGATACAAAGTAAGTAAGATTGACCAAGTCTTTCCTCACAAAGCTTAAGAATCTGATGAGGCAATCAGACAATTAAGCAAACTTTGCTAATACAGTTAGAAACCTGTCATAACACCAGGCTCATGAGGTGCCTGCATCATGGTAGATGTAGCTGCACCATGTGTGTTTGGAGTTGTGACCAAATGAATAATTGAATGAATGAATGAAAAAAAAAATCAATGGAGAAGAAAAAGCACAAATGTCAGTTTTTCCAATGGATAACCACAGAGCTCCCAAGAAAAACTAACAGTTTAAGCTAAGACCTTGAGACGTTATGCAGGTAAACAAGAAAGAGTGTGTTAGCAGCAGAGAGAATCTTACATTGGAAAGGCTGGAGTGAAAGAGGCCCCACTGGGTTCAGGAAACTACTGGAAATCAAATAGCTTGTAAAGGGAGACATGGGAAAGGCAGCCGCAGTTGTGGGTGGAAGTCAGGTCTTTATAAATCCGCACCTTGGATGTTGAAATAGTATAAGTTGTCAGGGGATCTGCAATTAACACAGCAAAGGCAACAGTAATTAACCTGCCCCCAAGGCTATGACGGTCATATGAGGGTCATGCTTCTCCTAGCTTGCCTGCTGATTCTTTTAGGTTAGCTCTATCTATGAGGCTGTTCTAGTTTCCTGATAAATATCAGATTATAATAGAGATACAGTGTTTTAATAATAAGCCTATAGGAAACAATCTCTTTCCTAATAAAATTTTATTAAATGGAGAACACTGCTAAACAAAGACAATGAGATCAAGTAAAACAAAGTTAATAACTTGCATTTATTTAAATAAGTGAAGAAGATGACAAGAGAAACTATAATAAAACTTGAAAAGGAGCAAGATGCCAGGAATTACCCTACACGATTCAACATCCTCCCCACTTGGGTATTCTAAATGGTTATAGTTTTATTTAGATGGATGACTTAGGAGTTTTAAGAAAGGTTCCTCTGTGTGCCAAAGCTCCTGCTCCTTCCTTCAGAAAGTTTGAAATGAAATGGGGTAAAAGAGTAAAAGGAGTTTAGGAAAGGAAATATCTATTGTAAGTGTTATGAATTATTCAATAAAAACTTATTGGGCACCTACTGGGTGTTTCAAGCACTATTCTAAATCCCTGTCTGCCTCTAATGCTAATCCAAGGAGCTTTGAATTCTTCGATGAAATTTCTTATCATTGAACTCTTATTAATAACATTGTTTTACATAAATCAGAATCACTGTGTAGTACATTGACAATAAAATGAAAAATTAGAAATTGCCTTTTTAAAATTTCTCATGCTAAAGTCAAGTTGGTACTTTGGCAGATGACTCAAACAATAAGTAGGTGCTGACACCATACTTTGTTATTCGGACTGGTACTTTACATTTTCAAAATACTTGAAATCATTTTACTTTCAAACACTCTACAGTTCAATAAAGAAAGACTTTAAAAATGCAAAGGCTTGTTGCAATAATGAGAAATTAACATAGGTAGGCCAAAAATATCACTTGAAAAAATGTTCAATTTATTGAATGTATAAATACTTCTTTGAGTCTGACCTCTATTTTTGATACTGTTAATATGTGACTTTTTGGGGGGTCACTGGGGATTGAACTCAGGAGCACTCAACCACTAAGCCACATCCCCAGTCCTATTTTGTATTTTATTTAGAGACAGGGTCTCACTGAATTGCTTAGCACCTTACCTTTGCTGAGGTTGGCTTTGAACTGGCGATCCTCCTGCCTCAGTCTCCCTGGCAGCTGGGATTACAAGCATGTGCCCCCCAAAGTATGACTTTTATAGAACTACACCTTTTTAAATACTAAATGAGGCAGGTTTTTATTGAATGACCTCGAATTCTTTCATAAGATTTCATTGAAAGGGGCTGGGGCTGTAGCTCAGTGGCAGAGCGCTTGCCTAGAATGTGTGAGGCACTGGGTTAAATCCTTAGCATCATGTAACAAACTAAACAAATAAAGGCATGCTGTCCATCTACAAGTATAAGAAACAAAATTTTAAAAAGAAGATTTCATTGAAAGGATTACTTTCAAGTATTAACTTGATCCATGGAAATTTCTAAAATCTGACAAAGTTCAAGCTGTAGGAGAAGTTTCTAGGAAAGTTTTTTTAAAGCCACTTTAAGACATAATTACAGAAATTTTGGAATATTTTTCAGCAAACTTCTAAAGTCCAATAAAAAAAAAGAAAAAGAAAAAAAAATTCTCTACTTCTTAATTAGGCCACTCTAAAGACCATTAAGTCACTTTTATCTTTACTTTGAATATCTTTACTTTTACATGGTTCTACTTGACTCATCCTTCTTAGGATGATTCCCCCAGTTCTAGCTCATGGGTGCCCCCACCTGTTTTGTATATGTCTTGGCAAAGTACAGATTGAGCTGAGTCCTGAGAGCAAGGCAGATTCCAGCTAAAGCAGTAATTTGGAAGAGGCTGATGGGTAGACTGCAGGTTCTTCTAAGTGACCCTTTTATAAATTTAGAGACTCAATTGCAGTTATTCTATCAAAATCAATGATGCAAAATTAAAAGGAAGGAAGAGTTACTGGCAAAACCAACTTTAATGTAGTAATATTGCATTTTATTTTAAGTGTTAAAGCAAGCTGTGAAAGTCAGAATTTGGATATGGTATACATGTGTTATTTAGACTAGTACTTTACATTGTGTGTGTTTATAACTTCAAATTCCACACACTTTTTAATTTCTGATGGCATATATTAGGCAGAAGTCAGTAACCCAAGTCTATGTAAATATTATTCTGAATTATTAGAGTGGCTTCAGGAGAGCTGAGAATTTGAACATGGAAACACTCCTAGATTTGGCAGGGCAGCCTGTGTCCCGTGCACTTGCTTGAATGCCACACTGTCATGAATAATCAGGGGGATTTCCCAAGAGGGAGCCCGCTGTTAGAAAGTGAGGGAACAGTCTTAGAAAAGGCAACCGCCTGCCACCCAGTTGACCTGAGCACATATAGGACAGTGAATTGTCTTTAATATTAGGTAACAATTCCCAGTAATAAACACTAGGATTAAAACTTGGACCTATAAAAATCATGGTGAAAATTTTGGACAATGACTAGAATGCTAAGTTGCTGTCTCATGAGGATCTTGAGCCTTTAAAACTGATTCTAGTTCTAGTCTCTCATTTTTTTTTCAAACGAGAACATTAGCCTCTCTCCATCAAAATTAAAAGATGAAAAGAAATATAAATGGTGACAGTGGTTATAATAAAGGAGGTACAAAAATAGATGGTCAAATTTTCTAATTACCAGTCTCATGGTGATAGCATTTTTATATTGACGAAAGTAGGATCTTAAAACTGGAGGTGACTGAAAGAATCCTTTTGAATCTTTTCTCCATTTCCTAGGCAAATTCTTCTGAGAAACTTAGAGAATATGGACTCTCCCACATCTGTAGCCATCCTGTGCTGGTGACGCGAAGCAGGTCATGTCCTCTTACAGCCCCGCCAAAACCACCTCCCTTACCTCGCTGGAAGCTCATCCGCCCCCAAAAAGAGATGGTCATAACAGATGAAGCTCAAGGTAGTGTCGTGTTGTCTTGAAATGTTTCCAGTTACCAGTTCTCTTCATAAAAGTTTAATAATTTCTTTTGTGATGAAAGATGAATGTTGAGGTCCAGCTCCATTTAGCAGGACCTAAAACCTACTTGAATTTTATATCTAAATTCTATGTTCTTAAAAGACTAAATCTCTACATCTCAGAAACCAAGCCTTTTTGTTCATTTCTAAATTGACCAGCCCATCAAGCTCTCTCTTTGAGTGATGGCACTGTTTTCTTAGCATGATAGGAAAGTAGCTTATAGTAAATAATATGGAAACTTAATAGAGTACATCAAGCCTCTGGAATGAATTTCCAAGGGGAAAATCACCATGGAATATCATGCAGAACATAATCTTTGAGTTATTCGATTTATAATTAGAATTCCTATAAAAATAGAACTTCTACTATGAAGTGGCCCCCAAGTTAATACCTTCATATGTACACTTACTTAGTGAATGATGGTCGTCTCCTTAGAAATAAATAGGTTCTCATGGACTAAGGAGAGAGAAGAGTGTGTTCCCATTCTGTTATTATATTCTCACAATTCATTTTTAAATTCCTCACAATCCATGTCTTCAAACTTTCACATCTTTATTCTCTAGAAGTCTTTGTTCTTACTCTATTTTTCCCCCATGCACATAATGTTTAAATAAAAGCAGGACCAAGAGGGCAAGAAAAGGAATGAATGAGACCATAAGTGCAAAATCAATTTTAAAGCAAAAACACGAAATGAGGGGATGGATTTTTAAAAAGAAATACTAATAATCAAACAATTGAGACATAAACCAATAATTCACATTTTTGTATGTCTATTCAGCATACATATTCTTCTCATAGCTAATTTACATGTATACTTTTAAATACAGGATGAGGAAAACTGGAATGCTATGGGTTGTGTGTGTGTAGTGTGTAAAATTATTTAAGTATTAATTTTTTTTTCTCATTCCTAGAAGCTTAAATTATCCTGTTCAAAAATAGATTTTATTATTATTTTAATGTACATCTCCTTGGTTTTGCATGTTTTCCATTTGTTTTGTCTAATATTTCATTATTTTATAATTCTATTAATTCAGTAACATCATTTTCTGGAAGCTATTGCATCAGAGATTGTATAAGTGATCACTTTCTGTTACTACAATTAAATAGCTGAGGCAATTAACTTATAAGGAGTAAAGGTTTATTTGGGCTAATGCTTTGAAGATTCCACTCTAAAATTGGTTTGGTACTCTAAGGAGCCTTCATACACAGAACACATGAAAGGCAGACCATTCATCTCATGAGCCAGGAAGCAATGAAGAAGAAAAAAAAAAGACTGTGAACCCTCAGTCTCTTTCAAGGACACATCCCCAATGGCCCAAGACCTCTCACAAGGCCCTACCTCTAAAGGTTCCACCACCTTCCAATAGTGCCATTCTGGGGACCATGCCTTTATTTAACACTGGGCCTTTGGAGGGCATTCAACTTTGAAGCTATAGCAGGAGTTTCATTCAAAGGTCATCTGAACATACAGTGAAACAGTGAAGGCAGAACCATAGTGAACGTACACTTGCCACTTACCAAAGGCATCACTGCTGAGATTTTAGATATGTTTCAGCGGTCGATCCCAGGATTCATCCTTGTATCCTTATGAGTGGTGGGACTGTCTTTGCATTGCTTTAACTCCTGCTATCACTTCAAAGGTGGGTAATAGTTCATTGCAAGTGACAAGAGAACTGTGTCCCAGTCACAGAGGAAATTGTAAGACTCAGTGGTACTCAGGAGCCTAAAACTGCACTAATCACATAGATTGAAATATTTACCTGTTCCTCGCCTCTTATATCCCACCATAATTTATACATTTTAAAAATATAAATTACAACTGGTAACCATGTAATTTTCCTCACATTTGCTCTCTGCCTACATTGACACCACCAGTACAGCTGGTAGCAAAGATTTCTCTAGCACAACATGGGTTATCCTTGCCAGAAAGGAACAAAAAGAAAAAAAAAAAAAAGTCTGTTTGGGGTGGAAAAGAGAAATGGTGGATTTATTTTTTATTCAGGCTCAGCCACCTCGCCCCTTTCTGCTAAATTCTTTCAGACATTGCCACATATTATTTTGAGTTCAGCAGTGACTTGTTGGTACCAACAAAGTGCGTGTGCTGCTTTGAGTTCCAAGAACTCCTTCTTTCCCTCCCTCATCTCTTCCTGCCTGCCTGCCTCCTAAATGCTATGTTTTAGTTAAATGCAATGAGTCACTAAAAACAGTTGTTCATTCAGAGCATTAAGGAACAACAGAATGAAAGGAAGAACACTGAACATACAGGTGTCCTCTGATTTTGCAACTGACTGTTGTGTAATTCCATGTCATATTCTCTGTAAATTGGGGATGGTAATCTCGTGATTGGTAAAATTCTATACCGGCAGTGTCCTTACCCTAGGGATGTCATATAATTGTCTTTATTCTCTCTATTAGTCTCAATAATTAAATTAAAAAGTAACCAAAAAAAATAGGGAGAGAGATCATTTTGGAGGATGACAATGGAATAATCAGAGAAAATTTGTCTGTACTGTGTTATAGCCTCACTTCTCTTCCTCATGTCCAATTTCATTGCTCACCATGGGAAGGCACAAGCTGTGTTCCCACTTCTAGATCAGCTTCAGAGTTAGGAGTGTCCGCAGATCCTCTCTCACCTGGTGCTTTTGTTTCTACTCTGACCTTTAGTTTATTACATTTTCTGTTCTTCCACTAAGTTCTCCCGTTTCCTCTTCCAGTCTTAAGTCACTGTGTTGTAGAGGCTAACAAAGGGAACATATTTTTAGTAAAAAACTTTCTTTTATAGAAAAATCATTCTTGTACTTGAAATAGCAGCAAATGCCAAGTAATATTTCTTTAAGATATTACCATCTTTCCCCCTCGAGACTGTTTCATGTCACACTCTAGGAAGCAAATGTGGTACAGAAAAAAAAATTAATATTGGCAAGATCATAAACTGTTTCAGTAAAAAGCCCTTAAGTATCTTTGTAAATTTCAATTTAACTGTATTGAAATATGTTGCATAAACATAAAAATATGTTGCATAATTAATCTAATCAGAACTGCATTTAATGTTAAGAACTGCATACAATTCTAAAAGACTTTTTAAAATGTATACCACAATTCCTAACTGCTACTTTTTAGAACCAGTAATAAAGAAGCCTGAACAGTTTCTTGAGATTTCAAGTCCATTTTTGAATTACAGAATGACTCCATTTACAATTCCAACAGAAACGTAAGTATAAACATTCTTTCTCAGAAATACATCTTGTTGACAAATAAAGTATTATGTGGTGTGTGTTGTTAAAAAAATGACACTAAATGGAAGCATTTTGAAGAACATTAAGGAAAAGGAAAAATATAGGTAGGTAGGTAGATAGGTGATAGATATATGGATAAATAGATGATAAATAGATATTTCCTTGATGTCCTAAAACTTGTGAATACACTTATTCACTTATTAATATTAAACATCTTTGACTCACCTTTTTATGTGTGAATCTTATAGACTAAATGTTTGTCTTCCCTCCAAATTCATATATTGAAGTCCTAACCTGGAATGTGGCTGGATTTGGAGACAAAACCTTTTAAGAAAGTGATTAAGGTTAATTGAGGCCTATGGTTGGGGCTCTGAGCTGATAATATTAGTGGCCTAAGAGGAGAGACTCCAGAGAGTTTGCTGTTGGTCTGTTAGTTTGTCTCTTTCTCCTCCTTCCTGCACATACACCATGGAAAAGCCATGTGCACAGAGAGGAGGTGACTGTCAGCAAGGAAGCAAGGAAGAGGCCCTTCTATGAAACCAATCCTGCCAGCACCCACTCTGATCTCAGCCTTCCTGTTCCAGAACTGTGAGAAAATAAATGTTTCTTATTTAAATCACCAGCCTATGGCATTTTATTATGTCAGCAAACTAATATAGATTTTGGTACTAAAAAGTGTAATACAGTGTAATGGCAATTTGAAAATTGTGGGTGTTGCTTTAGAATGGGGTACAGCTAGAGGAGTTGTGAGGTACATGCTGGAAAAATTGCACATTGCTGGGAGGAAACTGTTGGTAGGAAATGCTGACAAGGCTCCAAAAGAAAAGAGGAGAGCTGGAGAGGAAGCCCCATTATCACGGGAAACACATAAATGACGATAAACAGAATATTGGTAGAAATATGAACATTAATGGCTGTCCTGGGGAGATCTCAGGTGGAAACAAGGAGCAGGTTATTTGAAACTGGAGAGAAAGAAACCCTTATAGTTAAGTAACAAGGTAGTTGGCTGAATTGCGTTCTAGTGTTGTATGGAAGATAGAATTTGCTAGCAATGTTATTGGATATTTAGCCAAGGAGATTTCTAAGCAACTCAAGATGAGAGAGATACACTGAAGAAGGAATTATCAAGTAAAACACAAAAACAAAACCTCAGAACTTAAAGATTTGGAAAATTGTCAGCTCCCTCGTATTGCAAAAAAAATGAGAAAGGATGTTGTGAGGAGAAGGCCAAGGGTATATACGAGCCATCACTAGATAATGGGATGACACCAACAGAAATAATAGTTTGTACTGAAGGAGATGAGAATAGGACTGAATAAGGAAAGGCTGTGGGAATTCTGAAACTCATCAGAACTATTCAGCTGCAAACATGCACCTTCAACTATGGAAAGAATGACCCCTGAGAGGATTCAGAAGTCATTTGGGCCACCTCTCCCACCACAGGCCATTGGTTTTAGCCTGAGGCACCAGAGCCACCCCACAGAACTCTGGAGGTGACACTGCTACCCCAGCAGGCAGAACAGCAAACTAAGGAGGATTATTCTCAATGCTTAAGATCTAATGAAATTTGACCTGCTAGGGTTTGGATTTACATGGGACCTGTTACCTTTTCTTCTTTCCCATTTCTCCCTTTTGGAATGGGAATGTACATCCTATGCCCATATCAACATTGTATTTTTGAAGCACGTATCTTGTCTAGTTTCACAAATTTACAGCTGGAAGAGATTATTGCTTCAGGATAAATCCTACCCTGAGGTTCAATTGTATCTGACATAGATGATATTTGGGAAACTGGGACTTTTGATTTTAGAGTGGATGTTAGGCCAAGTTAACATTTGGAGCTCTTGGGACTGGGTGAATGTATTTTTGCATGTGAGAAGGAATTTGGGATCCAGGAGTAGAATGCTGTCAACTGAGAATTTGCATTTCCACCAGAATTCATATGTTGATGGACTGACCTCTAGTGTGGCTCTATTTGAAGATGGAAGTGGTTTGAATGTGTTTGAAGATGGTTTGAATGTGTTCCCCAGAGTTCTTGCATTAGAAACTTAATACCCAATGCAACACATGGGAAGATGGAGAGTAAGAAAAGGCTTATTAAAGGCCAAGACCCTCAGAGGCTGGGGATATGTCAGTTGGTAGAGTGCTTGCCTTGCATGCACAAGGCCTTGGGTTCAATCCCCAGCACACACACACACACACACACACACACACACACAAACCCCAACAACAACAACAACAAAAATTCAAGACCCTCATGAAAGAATTAATGACATTATTATGGCGTGGGTCAGTATCATGAGAGGATAAGAAGGGATATATGATAGACAAGGGTTCTGACTTCTTGTGCTCACTTGGTCTACTCCTTTCCTGCCCTCTTGCCTTTCTGAGATGATGCAGCATGAAGATCCTGCCAGATGCTGGCAGCATGGATTTTGGACTTCCTAACCTCCCAAACCATAAGCCAAATGAATCTCTTTTTTAAAAAAATTAAGTTACCCTTTCTTAGGTGTTCTGGTATAGCAACAGAAATAGATTAAGACAGGAAGTCATTAAAGTTAAACAAGGTCATAAGTATGAGGTCAGGCCTGATCCAGTAAAGTAAATGTCCTTAAAGTATGAGACACTAGGAAGTGCCTTCTCCAAGCACACATTGTGAGGAAAGTTCATACAAGCACATGACTTTAATTTTGTCATGGGATCCCAAGCAGACTGACAGAGCAAGCACCATATTTCATAGGAAGATAGAAAAATGACACCTCATCCTGCATAGATATCAACTTTTGGGGTGGTGGAAGGATCTGTTGCATGTATAAGTAAATAATTACAATAAAATTTAATAATTGCCATTAAAAAAGTTATGACTCAGATTCTGTGGTTATATCTCCAAAAATATATTTGTAGAAATAATTAGAGCCCTAAGTACAGGACTCCTAGCTTCGGTGCTTGTGCAGGAGGTGAAGAACTTGCCTTTAGCCGGTGATGTGGGTGACTTTCCTTCTGACTATCAAGGTCCCCTCTTCCTGTCAGGCATAAGCTCATCCAGAGCTTGATGTCCTTTCTTCTTCCTCCTCCTCCATCACCCATGCGGTCTTCCAGTTGAAAGTCCACACTTTGGAGACACAATGGAGGCCTTGTCAGGGGGGTAAAGTTTGGAGGCAGCTGCTGTGTCGTGACTGCATGGTTACCCTTACAAACATTACTTGCCACACAGTCCCAGCCCTTATCTGTCACCAGCCTCTGCTGTTTTTGACTTAGGATTTGACTTAGGATTCAATGGAGAGGTTCTGGGTACTCTCTCTGATTTGGGGTGCCTTTTGGTTTTCCTAATGGTACTAAGGGTTTTTCTGGCCTGATGTTTTGCCAACAATCTGTTCTCATCTGTCCCTGAGGAATGTAGCACAGCCCAGATCATGGCACTCCTATTTTGCCACTTCTACATGACTTTGCTTTTATTTTTTTGACTTCTTCCGAGACCCCAGTGGAATGGTAGTTGGGAGAAGGGGGACATTTCTGTATTGAGTCTATTATCTTGAACTGTGTAAGCCTTCTTGGGCTGTCCCCTCATTGACATTTCACCTCCCAAGCCTGTTTGCTCCTCCTCATTCCTTACCCAGTCAGACTCAGAACTCTCTTCACCTTGATTAATCTGCATTCCCCGTTTCTTATGACCAATTAACCAAACAACCTGAAATCAAGAAAAATACCCCAATTAGTAACAAAAATCACACATTTTTCTGAAGTTTTGATGGAAATTTTTGATAGATTGAGGGATGCCTTGTATTTTGGTCATATTTGAGCAATCCAAATAAGTAAAAAGGGAATCCTAGGTACTGCTGCTCCTAAATCATCAGTCACGGCACTGATGAGGATTCCTCTGGTCACCATCAGCCTTGGCCTCCCAAGCTTCTCACCATGCTGTGTGGCCTCTCCTGTCTTTTCCTCTCCTGATCCTCCTATTTCATTGTTATTCAGAGAGAAGGCTAGCTTGCATTTTTGTTTTGCATTACAGCCCCCTTACAGATCATGCTCTCCAGTACTTACCTCGTACTCTTTCTCTCCTATCTTAGTGTGGCATCTGCCAGAGCCACTCCTGGGGTGCCAAGGATCCCAACAACCAAGTGTGGGGAGTGGAGCCTGAGATCTGAAGTAGCACTGGGCAGCAGCACTGGACAGGGAGGCCCCTCCCCATCCTAGGCCTTTATGTCAGGGGTGTGTGGTGAGAAGAGCGACACCCCTGATCGCCAAATGCCTCTCTGTCCATTCTTCCCTTGTCTTGAACAACAGGCCCTAGATGGTTTTTAAATAGACAAGGATTAAATTCCTCATTGTCTAGATTCTGTGCAGTGACTGATTGAGCCCAATCTCCTGGTCAAATGTGGCAATACCTTCTGTGTTCTCTCTCAGTTTATTTTTTTCCAATATGAGTGCATCAAATGTTTTCCAAATTTTTAGTCCGCTTCCTTTTTGATTAACAATTCTGGAATTATTTTATCTTCTAGCATTTTATAGTAAGCAGTCAAGAGAAACTGAACCACAACTTCAACAGTTTGCTAGAAATTTCCTCAGGTAAAAATCCAATTTCATTTTAATAGGAAACAGACAGACATGAGTTGCAGGAACATGAAGTTCAGGGGGTAATTCCATAGACTGGGCTTACTCGCTGGCCCCCCAGATGCTTTTTAAAAAGCTATTTACCTGAGGCCAATCTGGTCCTGCTCTGGCTTGGGTCAGTGAGATTTTACATTTCCTTATAAATACCCTGTCATCCCCAGGATTATTCTCTGGTCAGAGAAATCTAAGACTCCTCCCTGTAGAAAAGAACACAAATTACCCTAAAGAGGGGACTTTTGTGACCTTTATACAGACCAAAGATTCCAAGATCCAGAAAAACAGTATAATTAAAAGCGAAGACCATTGATCCTAAAATCTGAAATAACAAGTTCCAGTCAGAACAATTTCACACTGGCCAAGG